AGTGTATCTCATAAGCTGAAGGAGTTGGAGAGAACAGCAGAAAGGTTACTCTGACCTCCCCTTGCTCCCCCTTCTTCCCTGAAACAGGCCATAAATCTCCCACATGAAAGATGCCTTCCCTGAACCAGGAGGAAAGACGACGCTGTTCTCAAGAGCTACGGCTGTTGTTCTTCAGACCAAGAAGGCTATATAAACAAACCCTTATCATCCTAATTACTTCTTCACCATCATTCACCCAAATCTCTTTGTTTTGTCTGTTCTTCACAAATTTACTGTTTCTAAGGCTCCCCTGGTGGCTCAGATGGTAAAGAATCCACCTGCAATGCAGGAGACCTGGGTTCAATCCTTACGTGGGGAAGATCCCCTGGAGAAGGGAATGGCAACCCACTGTGTAGTCTTGCCTGGAGAATTCCATGGACAGAGGAGTCTGGTGGGATACAGTCCATAGGGTCACAAAGAGTTGGACGTGACTGAGCAAGTAACACGCAGACACACACAGACACACACAGACACACACACACACACACACAGACAGTATAAAAGCTTCCTGCACTGTTCACTTCTTTGAGACTTCATTCTCTTGTGAAGGCTCCCATAGATATGTTAAAATTTAGTAAAATGTGGGTGCTTTGCTTCTGTTAATCTTTCTCAGCTGTGTTGTCTCAGTTGCAGCACTGGGAATCTTTCAGTTGAGGAACCAGATCCATGACTGGGGATCGAACCCAGGCCCCCTGCATTGTGAGCACAGTCTTAGCCACTGGACCACCAGGGAAGTCCCTACTCCTGTTAAATCTGTCTTTGCCAGTTTGGCTTCCAGACTGAGTCAGGGAGTCTAGGACGGCAGAGGAGAACTCTTTCCTCCCCTACAGGGCCCTGGCTTCACCACCACTGTTTGCTGCCTCACAGGCTTCCATAATGACACCTGGCAGGTGTCCCTAGGACACCTTTGCAAAGGAGAGGTGTCGAAATATTCCCTTGCGAACTGCTGTTCTGCAGGGCTGGGGCAAACACACACCATATTATAGTTTAGACCAAAGCAAAGCCAAGCATCCTAGTTAATTGTAAATTAGAGTAATTGTGCTTGCAGCTGTCAACACACCCACTCCCAGATCCCTAGGGAATAAGGTGTTATTTTTTCCCCAAGAGGAAAGCGAAAACAAAATTTGCATTTTTTTGACTGTACCACAAGGCATGTGGAATCTTAGTTCCTCGACCAGGGATGGAATCTGACAGAGCCCACTGCAGTAGAAGCATGGAGCATCAACTACCGGACTGCCAGGGAAGTCCCATTGAGTGTGAATCGTAACGTATTTCCTGATTTGGGGTCAACTTTCCCCTGGTGGCTCAGATGGTAAAGAATCCACCTGCAATGCAGGAGACCTGGGTTCAATCCCTATGTGGGGAAGATCCCCTGGAGAAGGGAATGGCAACCCTCTTAAGTAGTCTTGCCTGGAGAATTCCATGGACAGAGGAGTCTGGTGGGATACAGTCCATGGGGTCAGAAAGAGTCAGACATGACCAAGCAGCTGACACTTTTTCAACACTTCCACTCAGCCTCTTTTGGCTTCAGCTGTGTTCTTGGTCTCCCTGGGTTATCTAATAACAGGAAGATCAGCTCCAGCCAAGAGTCCCATGATGGGGGCCAACGGGGTTCCCTCTCCTGTGTCCCTGTCTGGACCTAAGCAGTAGAGCAATTGCAAAGGCCACACCCCCGGGAATGGCAGGGCCAGCTCCGGAGGCTCTGGTGTGCTTATGTACTTGCAATTTTAGGAAGAGCACCTATGCTTTTACTAGGTTCTCAAAGGGGTATCCAGCCCAGTCAAGAGTTTAAGAACCACTGTGTTCAAGCTTTAGAAAAACAAAGCTGCACCATCCTGGGCTTGGTGCTGGGGAATTAAAGAGCCACTTGTTTCTATTTCAGCAACTGTATTTTCCTGTGTGAATATTCAACCTCACTTCTCTCTCCCTTTGTCTCTTTACATCCTCAGTCCCTTGGTTGAAGAAAGAATTGGAAACACTCTTATGACTAAAGCCTTTTCTCCCTAGAAGAAAGATTTGTTGGAAGAGGTGCTAGAAACTATTTTTGAATTTTTTGAGTAGGCTCTTTCATTTTCTTCTGATTTGGTCTGCGAGCACAGACGTTGATAACTTGGCTAAGAGTCTGTGTGGTCAGAAATCTCCTTAACGTGATTGTTAGTTATAGAATTCAGTGCTTGTCTTAAACATTGATTAAACTGAAAATCACTGTCTTAATGAGTCAAGATTGCTCCTTGGAGCTACCTGCTGACATTGGACAAATGGACACTTTCCAGGGTTCTTGTGTTGCTGAGTCCAAGCTTGGTCTGCTCACCACATGACAGGCCAATAAATCAGAAGATGAGGTGTTGAGGCAAGGAAGAGAGACCTTATTTGTAAAGTTGGGTGTCCAAGAAGATGGTGGACTACCATCTTATTGGAGTCTGGATGCTAGTTTCTTTTATAGAACAGAGACAGGGAGGAGATGAGGAAGTAAAGTAAAAAGGCCATAAATCTTGCAATATATCTCCTGGCTTGGCCAGCCTCGGGGAGGGGATGTGTTAATTTCTTCTTTCCTACAGCCATTCACAGGTGGGCACGGTCGGGGTGTTGCCTGTGAGCTGAACAAAGACACTTTAGTTTAAAGTCAGGGAAAGGGGTGAGCTTCCCAGCGGGCTCTAGTGGTAAAGAATCTGCTTCCAGTGCAGGAGGCGAAAGAGATGAAGTTTCGATCCCTGGGTTGTGAAGATCCCCTGGAGAAGGAAATGGTAACCATTCCAGTATTCTTGTCTGGAGAATCCCGTGGACAGAGGAGCCTGGTCAACTACAGTCCATAGGGTCAGAGAGAGTCGGACATGACTGAAGCAGCTTAGTATGCATGCAGAGGGGCAGAGCTGCCCAGGCAGGGAAAGCTTATAGCTGTAGAGAGCATCCTTTTAGTAACAAAGGCACAGAAGGCAAAGGTTAAAGAAACATCCAACATGAAGTCAGATTCTGTTCTTCCCTGTTACACACAGCCTTATTCCCACTCCCTATCTCTTTGATTTCCAACAGGAAAACCAGGGATAGCAAGGGAGACCTAATTTCTCTTTTTAAAAAGTTAAGTGAAATCGCTCAGTTGTGTCCGACTCTTTCTGACTCCATGGACTATAGTCTACCAGGCTCCTCTGTCCATGGGATTTTCCAGGCAAGAGTACTGGAGTGGGTTGCCATTTCCTTCTCCAGGAGATCTTCCCGACCCAGGGATTGAACCCAGGTCTCCCACATTGCAGGCAGACACTTTACCGTCTGAGCCACCAGAGAAGTCCCTTAAAAAAAAAAAAAAATTGAGGTATAATTGGCATGTAACATTGTATTAGTTTCAGGTGTTCTGTATAATGATTTGATATTTGTATACATTGCAAAATGATCACCACGCTAAGTCTAGTTACCATCTGTCACCACACAGTTACAAATTTTTTTCTTGTGCTGAGGACTCAAGATTTACTTTCTTAGCAACTTTCAAGTAATGAATAGAGTATTATTAATTATTATCAAACNTGTATATGTGTGTGTGTGTGTGTGTGTGTGTGTATCACATCTTCTTTATCCTTTCACTTATCAGTGGCCACTTGGGTTGTCTCCATATCTTCACTGTTATAGTAATAACTGCATTGAAGATGGGAGAACAGATATCTTTTTGATTTAGTGTTTTCATTTCCTTCAGATAAATATCCAGAAGTGAAATTCATAGATCATATGGTAGTTCTATTTTTAATTTTGGGGGGAACCTCCATACTGTTTCCCTTGGTAGGCTTAGCAGTTCACATCCCCACCGACAATGCAGAAGGATTTCCTTTTCCCCACATCTTAATTGACATGTGTTATTTTTCATCTTTTTGGTGATAGCTATTTTAGCAGGTGTGAGGTGATATCTAAGTGTGGTTTTAATTTGCATTTCCCTGATGATTTGTGATGGTGATGGTGAGCATTTTTTCACCTGCCTATTGGCTATCTGTATGTCTTCTTTGGAAAACGGTCTATTCAGATCCTCTGTTCATTTTTTAACTGGATTGTTTGCCTTTTGTTTTTTTTTTTTTTGCTGTTGAGTTGCATGGGTTCTTTATATATTTTGAATATTAGTCCCTTATCAAATTTATGATTTGCAAATATTTTCTTCCATTCAGTAGGTTGTCTTTTCATTTTGTTTGTGATTTCTTTTACTGTGCAGAAGGAGGACTTACTGTCTTTTATTCTGTTGTGTTAAAAAAATGTCTTACATGGGTTTCCCTGGTGGCTCAGTGGTAAAGAATCCACCTGCTGATGCAGGAGACATGGGTTTGATCCCTTATGCAAGAAGATCCCACATATTGTGGAGCAACTAAGCCCATGTGCCACAACTATTAAGCCTGTGCTTTCGAGCCCAGGAGCTGCAACTACTGAAGCCTTGCGCCCTAGAGTCTGTGCTCCACAACAATAAAAGCCACCACAATGAGAAACCCACAGGCTCCAACTAGAGCATAGCCCCGACTCACCACAACCAGAGAAAGCCCAAGCAGCACAAGACCCAGCACAGCCAAAAATAAAATAATTTAAAAAGTCTTCCAGAGCAAGCTTTCTCTCCTAACACACACACATGTATACACACACTGTTGTCTACATAGGCTCTAGACTTCTCTGATGTTAATACCCATTAAGGATAGACTTGTGAATTTTAAGGTGGAGTCAACTCTATTATGGGAAACTAAGATATAAACAGTTCCTCGATGTATTTCCCAAAGCCATAATTGAGTGAAAAAACTGAATCATTTGTCTGCAGTGAGACATATCTACCTGAAAAAGATAGTTAAGAGATGATGTGTACAATTTTGGTTAAGAGTTACTGAACAAGAGGGTCACCAAAAGCTCCTCTAGCCCTAAGGAAGTTAATAAAGTCTGTTACATTCAACTAAAAATTGAAAAGTCAAAGTAAGGTTAAGATTCTCTAGCCCATCTTTGCTTCACAGGTTTCCAACATTAAAACTCCCAAGCAAATGGATGAATTCATTGAGATCCAGAGTTCTACAGGAACTTGGTACCAGCGCTGGTTAGTCAGATTCAAAACCACTTTCAAGCAGGTATGTTTGGAAACCTGGGGTGGGTGAGAGGGAGGCTCTATGGTGATCTGTAACGACAGTGGATGAGGAATAGAGGTTTTGAACATGCCTGTCAACCCAAGGCACTGTGATGGGCAGGAAGCAACATTTGGGTCCTAGCCCACACCGACTTCTAACTCCTGTGAGCCCTGAACCATGAAGTGTCTAATCCTTAGTTTCTTTTCTTTCCTCTTCTTTCCAAAGGCAGAGATTTTGAATGGAGATACAATGTCTAGTCTGAGAAAGCACCTTTCTTTCTCGCACCTTCTTCTTTTTTTGGTTTGAGAGTTATTTTTTATTCAGTGGGGATTTTTAGGACTTCAAGCCCAGGAAGTAGTAGCTCAAGTAACTCTGAGAGAACTATCCAAGGAGGCGAGGATGGGGGAAAGCCAGATATATAGGAGTTTTGCAACAAAGGGCAGGTAGTCTGACCGTCAAAAGTTTATTGTTAATGAAAGAAAACTAGATATGTCAAGTTAAAGAATTTAGTGTTTTTCCATGCCTGGGAAGGTGCAAAAGTCTGGGTTTACTGAAATTATTCCTTTTATATGCACCTCAGCTTTTCACATCCTGAGTTTCCTCAGGGCTCACCATGGGGAGTGGCTGCAGTCTGGTGGCTGCTAAAAGGCAGGCATTCTCTTCCCTTCTGAGTTCCCTCCGGGCTCACAGGCCCACCTTCTGGTGATGGCTGCGGTCACTGATGACTGTGACATCCTTTGTTTACCAATATGACAGGCAGTATTCCACTTATCATTTCCTTCTCTTGGTCCGAAATTCAGTCCATACTGGGGAGACATTTCAGGATCAATTTTTGTCCCACAGTTCTGGGACTCTCATCCTAGATCAGGTGAAAATGCTTGCTGATATGCCACTCCAGTGGCACTTTCTCTTTAAATAAACCATAGAAAGAAGGGAGTGAGTGAAAGAAAGGACCCCTTTCAGGTTTGTTGGTGATCTCTGAGAAAGTCTTTATGAAGGTCAAGGCCATTTCTCCAGAGAAGTGGTCCTATGAGACAAGCCAACTGTCAAACACTCAGGCAGTCAACAGCCAGAGTCTACTGAGCCTGGACAACCTTCTTGGTGCAGGGTGGTTCAGTGTTTGAAATAGCATCCATTCCCACTGGCGGGGAAAAGAGCCCAAGGCTACTCAGCACCTTGACATCCCCACTCACTGCACTTTTGGTCACATGCATCGTTGTGTTCGTGGATGCTACAGGACTGTTAGAGTATGACACCAGCTAATAAGAACAGAAGAGGGTTTCTTGTTCCTTGAGCAGAATTGCTGCCTCTGGAAGACAATTGCTGTGTGTTCTCTCCATGGGTTCCTAGGAAATGTAATAGAGAATCTTAAAAAGGATCTCTTCCAAGTCACATGTTTCTACCTTTAACCACCCATCTCTGCTGTGGGTTATAGGTCTGGGAAAATGCTCTATACTGTGTGATGGGGCCCTACAGGATGAACACTCTGATTCTGGCTGTGGTCTGGTTTACCATGGCTTTAAGGTAAGTTCTGTCTTCCGTAAGTTCATTAATTAATAAAAAGTTATGACAAACATAGACAGTGTAGTGCTGGAGAGGATTCTTGAGAGTCCCTTGGACAGCAAGGAGATCAAACCAGTCAATCCTAAAGGAAATCAACCCTGAATACTCATGAGAAGGACAGATGCTGAAGTTGAAGCTCCAATACTTTGGCCACCTGATGCAAAGAGCTGACTCACTGGAAAAGACCCTGATGCTGGGAAAGATTGAGGGTGGGAGGACCAGACTGGCAACAGAGGATGAGATGGCTGGATGGCATCACCAACTAATGGACATGAGTTTGAGCAAACTCTGGGAGATAGTGAAGGACAGGGGAGCCTGGTGTGCTGCAGTCCATGGGACTGCAAAGAGTCAGACCCAACTTAGCAACTGAACAAAAAGTTCATTAATTTTCTTATGCTTCCCATGCCTCATCTGTTCGTTGAGGATTACCGTTGATTCTAACTCATATAGAGTCTGTGTCAGATTGGATGCTTTTGGCTATGACAGGCAACCCTGTCAACTCTAGTGCCTTCTACAACGAGGAAATTTCTGATCCTTTGTAACAAGAATTCTATGGAGAGGCAGCCTCCAGGTGGGGATTCAGCCTCAGGCTAGTTCTCATCTGCTAGCAACATGCCTGCAATTGCTCTTGGCATTCTCAGACATGGAAAAGTATCCCAGTGAGGAAGAGGCTGCCTTTCTCTGAGATTGATTTTTTAAAAATAATTTTTTTTTACTCGGTTACTGCATGTGGGATCTTTGGTCTTAATTATAGCATGCAGAATCTTTAGTTGCTGCATGGGGGATTTTTTTCTTTTTCTTTTTTAGTGCAGCTTGTAAAATCTTAGTTGTGGTGTATGGGATCTAGTTACCTGACCTGGACCCCTGCCTTGGGAGGATGTGGAGTCTTAGCCACTAGACCACCAGGGAAGTCCCTGAGCTCCACTTTTAACATCAAGGAAACCTTTCTCATCTTCCTTGGTGGCTCGGATGGTACAGAATTTGCCTGCAATGCAAGAGACCTGGGGTTCGATCCCCAGGTCGGGAAGATCCCCTGGAGAAAGAAATGGCAACCCACCCCAGTATTCTTGCCTGGAGAATCCCATGGAGAGAGTAGCTTGGCAGGCTACAGTCCATGGGGTCGTAAAGAGTTGGACATGGCTGAGCGACTAACACTGTCACTTCAAACCTTTCTCAGAAGCCACCAGCAGACTCTCCCCACCCCCACATTATATTAACCAAATGTGTGTCATATGCTTTAGGGTTAAACTAGCCACTGGTGAATGGGATGTGATTTCCCAATGACTTCAGACTAATCAGGATTTGCCTCTCAGCTGATGATACCGTTAGCTTTCCTGAGCATTAACACCCAAACAGAATCAACTTTCTGTTCCCAAGGAAGAAGCAGGGAATGAATGCTGCGTCAAGAACTGTCAGTGTCCTTGTGAATATTAAATGGAGAAAACAGAGCACCTTTGCAATAATATCCACAGCAATAAAGTAAATGAAATATAACGTGATTGATGATTAGCTGGCTCCTCTCTGAAACAGTAGTCTCTCACCCTAGTCATTTTATTCGCCTCCGGATAACATGACCCTTGTTTCTGTGCCAGTTTTGGGGACCATTTATAGTGTTAAAAGGCTGTTTCATTGTATGTATAAAGTGCTTGCAATTGTTTCTGGCACATCAGTAAGTGCTCAGTAAATTGTTATTATCAATTAAAATCTTTTGATGAGATTTTAAACTTTCATCTTTGAAGTTATTTTGTTCACCACCGCCCATGGCCAAAGACACAGTCCCCTCAACCCAGGGAATTCAATTGTCTTTAATGACCTCTTGGATTATGGGAGGAATGTGGGAAGACCTGCTTTTTCCAATATCTAGCCAAGTGTCTTCCAATAGATATTGATGGAGACCCAAACAGTCTCTTTACCAAACAGGTAAAGGTAGAAGCAGACTGCTCACTTCCACTTGTCCCATCTAAGCTAGACGAGAACATAGAACATTTCAGAAGCTAAAATGGTAGACCCTTGGATCCAATTCACTGAAAGTTTTAAGATATTTCCTTATGTCTGATTTAATTTTGTCAAGTAGGTAATGACTTTCCAATGTTGGAATCTCAGAGAGATCTGGTCTCCCTTCCTTCCCCCTCTGCTTACTCCCTTCTGCCTCCTCTCTAATTATCTTTTATTTTCCTATTTATCATTCTAGTATTTCTTTTTGCAAACTTAAGCAAATATATGTATATTTACAAATTTCTTTATTGTTTTCTTATGAGAAGGAACTGCAAGAAAGCAGTTTTGCATTTCCTTTTTGCTTTAAACAATATATTCTGGAGCTCTCTCATACCGCTAGATAGAGATTTACATTCTTTTTTACAGTGGCATAGAATGTATGCATAGCTCTCCACATTACAACCCTACACTTTATTCAACCAGGACCCTGTTGCCAGATTGTTGGGAAGTTTTCAGACATTTGTTATTGCAAACAGCGCCATAATGAGTCACTCTTTGTGGGCTCCTTTGTATTGGACAAGTTAATCAGTGGAATAGCTTCCTAGAAATGGAATTATGGAGTCAAAAGGAGATAAGTCCATCAGTCATTGTAGGCACTGACCAATTCGCCTCGAGACAGATTGCAAAATGCTGTCCTCTTTCCAACAGTGCATAAGAGCACCCGCTTACCTGCAGCCTCACCAGCAGAGTTTTTGCAAACTTCAAGGTTTTGAGTCTGGTGGGTGAGAATGATAACACACTGTGGTTTTAATTTTCACTTTTTGGGTTATGGGTGGGATGGAGCATCCTTTTTATATGCTTCATGGCCATTTTTTTTTGAGTTGTCATCTTGAGATTTTAGGTATAAAATATCATTTGCAAATATAGTATTATTGCTTGCTTTGTAACTTCATATTCCTATGTTCTTTTTCTTGTGTAGCTGAGTTAGCTAACACTACAACATAGTATTAAATAGTAGTGATGATATGGGTATCCTTGTCTTATTTCTTATGTTAGTGGGAGCAACCACAGTGTTTTTCCCATTGAAAGATCCTTTCTTTTGAGTTGAGATATATTTATGTATACTTTGGGCTTTCCTGGTGGCTCAGTCAGTAAAGAACTTGCCTGCAGTGCCAGAGAGCTGAGCTCAATCGCTGGGTCAGGAAGATCTCCTGGAGGAGGGCAAGGCAACCCACTCGGTATTCTTGCCTGGGTAATCCCATGGACAGAGGAGCCTGGCGGGCTACAGTCCATGGAGTTTCAAGAGTCAGACATGACTTAGCAACTAAACCACCAGCACTATATATATTTTTACATGCTAAGAAGGCACGCATGAATGTCTAATCTATTGGCATTTTAATCAAGAATGCATGTTGTTTTTTTATCAAGTGCCTTTTTGGCATCGTTGGAGACGGTTGTGATTTTTTTTCCATTAGATCTATTTATATGAGTTATATTTTCTAATGAACCATACTGACTCATTTAAAATGGGCTTGATTTGCATCATATCAGGAATGCAGACTCTGATGGTGTTGCTGCCCCAATATTCTGTCTTCTCTATTACAGCTACTACGGGCTGACAGTCTGGTTCCCTGACATGATCCGGTATTTTCAAGATGAAGCATACAAGTCCAAAATGAAGGTGTTTCACGACGAGCATGTGTACGGTGTCACAATCAACTTCACGATGGAAAATCAGATTCACCAGCACGGGAAACTTGTGAATGACAAGTAAGTGCGGGACCATGAGCTTTCCTAAGATCAGGAGGACTGTGTGTGGGTACTGTCTTGCAGAGGGAGGCGTTGGCAAGACAAGAATTCAATGTGGCGGGTATCGAGCTCTGAGACTGGTAGAATATCAGACTGCCTCAGCAGCCAGAGACTCTACAGTGCCCCCTGGTGGCCCTGTCTATGCCGTGCGGTCCTCCATCCTGGCTAGGGTTGATTGATCAAGGAGGGTCAACCAGGCGATCTTTCCTGAAACCTCACACCTTTATTGGTGATGCACAGAGAGCCCCTCAATGATGCCTGGAGGGAGGGCCCAGAGGTCCCGCACCAACTCACAGCCTGACTCTTGAGCTTTTTCTTTGATTCTAGATGCTTCTTCAGCAGCAAATCCAGAGGCTAATATGACACTATTTTATGATATTCTTTCACCTATTACTGGCTTCCCCGAAAGCTCAATGGGTAAAGAATCCTCCTGGAATGCATGAGATGTGGGTTTGATCCCTGGGTCAGGAAGATTCTACCTCCAAGTGTCTATTGGCATGGCCCATTGCCACCAAAACTGTTGTTGTCCTTTGGGGGGAAAAATTAGTGCAGTGTTAGAAAAGTCCTGCCCATATCCTCTTCAGGACTTCCTTGGTGGCTCAGTGTGAAAGAATCCATCTGCAATGCAGGAGACACAGGAGAGATGGGTTCAATCCCTGGGTCGGGAGGATCCCCTGGAGAAGGAAATGGCAACCCCCTCCAGTATTCTTGCCTGGAGAATCCCATGGACAGAGGAACCTGGCAGGCTACATAGTCCATAGGGTCGCAAAGAGTTGGACACGACAGTGTGCTCGCAGACAGACCTCTTCTTGTCTGTTTGACTCTTCCTCTCTCTACTCCTGGAACACTGAGATGGATAGTCCAGACCACTGGGCTTTAAGAATGCCTGCTTGAGGTTGTCTCCAATGGCCCCAAATGGGTCAGGACAGCGCACAGTTCCCTCCAAGCCACGTGATCCACTAAGCTGAGCGTTTTCATCTCTGCTGTTTGCTGTCTTCAATTATCCTTAGCGAGTTCACTGGGTCAGGGCAGGGCTACACCAGAAACCCCACAGCCAGGCAGTTCAGTGTCAGTGATAGACACTGCCTCTTAGTTAGTGCACCTGTGCAAGAATTGTCACCAGGGATTCTCTCCTCCAATGCCAGTTCTACTTTTCCCAGCTATGCATGCAAGTGGCTGTGCCCACCGACTCTTAGCTACTGTGGGGAAGAAGTCTGGATGAAGTCCAAGAAGGGGGCCTTGGGCCGTCTAGTCCATATGTTACTGGCCAGACTTTAGCAAATGTTCTGTTATTTAGGATGAGAAAGAAAGTGTGACATGAAAAGAAGAATGTTATTTCTATAAATATAAGGCCTTTGAGGAAGGAAAGTTAGGAGTGACTATCAGTAGACATGGAATTCAGATTTTCAGATGATGTTTTAAAATGCCGAGGCTCAGTCACAAACATCTCCACATTTACATGCCCATGTGTGCACACGCCCTCGCTGGGGACACTTGGGTCACTGGAATCTGCTGAGAGTGGCCACTGCAAGGATGGGAGTTCCAAGGCTGATGGTTGGTGGTGGATGGTAATCCCCCCCGGATTTCTCACTGTCTGGGCTCTTCAGTATAAACCCAGAGATCTTGCACTGGCATTGCCAAGGAAGAGATGTTACCCTTCTTGGGACTTCCCTGGCGATCCAGCGGTTAAGAATCCCCCTTCCAGTGTAGGGGACTCAGGTTTGATCCCTGCTCCAGGAAGTAAGATCCCACATGCCCTGAGGCAATTGAGCACTAGAGAAAAAAAAAAAAGCCTGTGTTTTTTAGGAAGACCTTGTACAGCTGTCTCCCCCATCCCCGCCGCCAAAAAAAGAAGAAGAAATGTTGCCTTCTTTATTAGAATTCTTTTAAGTGTTGAAAAGTAAGGGATGTTATAGATGGCTAGATGTCCCTGTGATATGATGTTATTCCGTGCAGAGATGAATTCACTAAAAGAGACTTCATCTGTGAAGTTGCCTTTGTTCAGTGACACTCTATTGTGGTGTTACTGTAACGGTGATGGTGATGACAATGATAAGAAGGCTGGTTATTTAGTAGATAATCTCATGTGTTGTTGTTCAGTCACTAAGTCATATCTGACTCTTTGTGACCCCGTGAACTGTGAAATGCAGCACACCAGGCTTTCCTGTCCTTCACTATCTCTCAGAGTTTGCTCAAACTCATGTCTATTGAGTCAGTGATGTCATCCAACCATCTCATCCTTTGCCATTCCTTTCTTCTTCTGCCTTCAATCTTTCCCAGCATCAGGGTCTTTTCCAGTGAGTTGGCTCTTTGCATCAGGTGGCCAAGGTATTGGCGCTTCAGTTTCAGCATCAGTCCTTCCAATGAATATTCAGGACTGATTTCCTTAGGGATTGACTGGTTTGATTTCCTTGCTGTCCAAGGGACTCTCAAGAATCTTCTCGAGCACCACAACTCAAAAAAGATTAGAAACCTTTGAAACTAAGGAATTGAACGTGGGTTTGTTTGTTTTTCTTGAATTATGCTGCCATCTGCTGGTCACAAACTAGAAAACACCTCACCTGTTGGGAATCTTGAGCCTCTTGACAAGTTAAATTCTTCACATTCGTTAGCATTGTCTGCACTCTTACCAGTAGTCCCCTTTTGACTTTATCCACACTTCGCTGATTAAAAATATAGGTAGAAGTATTTACTATATTAGCTACCACGCATGGGGGAAGATTGCTTTTAGCAGGGAGAGCAAAGAGAAAGTCAATCTAGAAGACAGAAGGTTGATTTCATGCATCACAGTGACATGCTACACACACAGTTAAAAGCTCTTTTTAGTGGGGCATTAGTAAACATTTTCTTCATCTACAGTGGGTGTGTTTCAGGGCAATAGCGCTCCGTGAAGCTGCCAAGGATGGGAAATGTGTTAAATGTACCTTCTGACTTCAGGTTTGAGGAAGTTGCCAAGACTTGGGGGTCTAGGTTCCAAGCCTTGATAGGTCAGTGACTAGCAGAACACTCTCTGATCTGTGTAAGCCTCTGATTGCACATCAGAAAGTCATAATATTGAGACAGAATGTCCGTAATGCTTCAGGATTGCTGAAATTGTTGTTGTTGTTTAGTTGCTAAGTTGTGTCTGAGTCTTTTGCGACCCCATGGACTGTAGCCTGCCAGGCTCCTCTGTCCATGGCATTTCCCACACAAGAATACTGGGGTGTGTTGCCATTTCCTTCTCCAAGGTATCTTCCTGACCCAGGGATTGAACCCATGTCTTCTTTGCCACAGAGCCACCAGGGGAGCCCAATACTAGAATACCTCAGCATAATTTAGTAATTTAACCTAGGTTCTGTGTAGTTCTGCAGAGCTTCTTCCTGAATGTCTTACAGCTGTGCCTGCGTGCATAGTCCATTGCTTCAGTCCTGTCCAACTTTTTGTGACCCCACGGACTGTAGCCCTCCAGGCTTCTCTGTCCATGGGATTCCCCAGGCAAAGATACTGGAGTGGGTTGCCATGTCCTCCTCCAGGGGATCTTCCCTATCCAGGAATCAAACCTGCATCTCCTGCTCTGCAGGTAGATTCTTATGCACTGAAGCACGTGGGAAGCCCATTTTACAACTAATTAGCTACTGAAAATGGGGTTGCTGTTCTTCCATCACACCTTTACCCAGATTATTATTGCAGATCAACAGAAATCCTGTTGATCTGGGGATGTTTGATCTGAGCTCTTTTATTAGTTCTAATAACCCTGTCATCTGCCAATAGCAATTGTTTTGCCTCCTTTTCTTTTTTATTACGTCATGAAATATATCAAATATACAAAGAATAGAGAATAACACAACAACCCTATTCAGAGCACCTAGCTTTGTAAAATCATAAACTATGCTACTCTTCCATTGTGGCTCAGCTGGTAAAGAGTCCACCTGCAACGTGGGATACCTGGGTTCAATCCCTGGATGGGGAAGATCCCCTGGAGAAGGGAAAGGCTACCCACTCCTGTATTCTGGTCTGGAGAATTCCATGTACTATATAGTTCATGGGGTCACAAAGAGTTAGACATGACTGAGCAACTTTCACACTGACTTCAGATTTTAATATAAATTAAACATCACTCGCTCGGTTGCTCTTTTTGATGTTGTTTTTCTTCCTCCCAAGGAGTAATGATCACCGCGGTCATAGATATGGTGTTTTACATGCATGTGTATTTTTACACTTTCCTGTGTATTTATGTATCTGCAGACACTGTACAGCCTTCTTTTGAGTGCTTTAAATTCTAGGTAAATGTCACACTTTGTTATAGATGTGACTATATAATTCTCATACTATAAATTTTGCAATTAGGGTTTTTTTTGTTATTTTTAGGCCATTTACTTCTTTTATTTTAAATATTTTTAATTGAGGTGTAGTTGATGTACAGTGTTGTGTTGATCATAATGTCAGAGCTATGGGTATCCTGACTTCGGTGGGAGTAATTCGGGTGTCTTACTTTCAAGTATGATACTTGCTATATGTTTTTGATTGCTCTTCTTTATAAAGTTAAGGAAATTCTCTTTTAAGTATGCTGAGAGTTTTTATCATGAAAGCATATTGAATCTGTCACACGTTTTCCTGCATCTATTATGAAAACCATTTGGCTTTCTCCTTGGACCTATTAATATGATAGGTTAAAGTAATACTTTTCTGGATATTCAACTGTACTTAATTCCTGGGATATATCTTAATCATTCCGTGTGAAAAATGGCAGTATATCAACAAATTTGATTTACTAATATTCTTTTTTGTGTTGTTTAGATGTTTATAGCCATTTTATTCATAACTGTCAAAATGTGGAGGCAACACACATGTCCTTTATTTTTTATTTTCTACAAAAAATTGTGCCAATATTTCAGATTGGGTTTCAACTTATTATTTTGTTAAGACTATTTTCAGAGCTGTTGAGGTTCACAGTGAAATTGAGAGGAGGCCACAGAGATGTC